CTCCTTTAGGTATCTCTCCCGGAACAAACCCCTCTTCCCGACTCAAACACACTCTGAGTCTCCAGCAGGAACCCGTCAAGGCAGTGGGAGCGAGCCTGCAGTGACCACACCCAGAAGAGCCACTCGCCGCGAAAGGGACAAGACTGCTCTGGGTCTTGCTCTTGAACCCATCACGAGAACTTGAGGTCTTCCTCCTACCGCCCTTGAAGGAACCACGTCTTCCTCCAGCCCCAGCATCTCCGTGGCTCTTGTCCTCCTGGAAGGATGCTAGAATTCCTAACGAGCCCTCGGTGCCAGGGGAGAAGAGAAAAACATCCCTGTTGGAAGCTACGGGACACTTTTCTTGGGTGCCAGTGTAGCCAAGACTTTCCATCAAAGCATCAGCCTGGTTAAAGATCCCTCTGGCATCCAGACCTTTCAGGACGGGCCAGCAGCAGGGCCTGGGTGCGGAACCAGCATCGTCTTTCTACTGACTTTGTGTCCAACTCAAGAGTTGTGATTGGGCGCGTGTCCAGTCTGACCCCTCATTCCCGGGTTGTCTGGGACCAGGGGCTGTGTCCTAGCAACCGGGGCTGCCAGGGCCTGCCTGGGGCGGGAGGAGGAAGGCGTTGGTGGCCACAGGAGCGTCACTGTGTCTCTACTGGCGGGAATCTGGGTCAGAAGCCGCTCCATTCCTCCCAGACAGGGTGGGTCCAATGTCAGAGGCAATCAGCTTTGCTCCGTGGCTGTGGTTTAACCTGAACTTTTCTGGACAGGGAGGAAATAGCAGTGGCCTGAACCCCAGGAATGTCCAGTTGGCCTCAAGGTCTCAGGGATTTTCTGGCCTGGCTGGTGGTGGTTCTCGCACGCAGCATTGAGCACTGAAGACAGACAGACTCCACAGGGAGCTGAAAATATGTCTCATTTCATGACCTTTTGCTGATTGTCCACTAAGTGCCGGGCAGGGTGGGCACAGCTGGGCTACGGATAGAAAAGAACAGCACCACTTCTCACCTACCTTGCTTGCACTCTAGTTACCGGGCAACACTGACGCGACACCCACCAGAAAGCACCGATGTCCCAAACACACCCCCTGCACCTGCGGACCCTCCCCTGCCAGGAGCTAAGTCCCCAGGCCTGTGCTGGAACCAGGTGACAGAGCAGCAGAGTCTACGGAGAGAAAAGGGAACCAGAGGGCAGAAAAAGCAATTTCTGCAAGTAATGACTCGCTGGTCTCTGCCTCCATCCCAGTCCCAGGTCCCTTCCCCCCTTCCCTCCGCCCAGACCCACCCTTGCTGCAGGACAGGTGACCAGAGCCCTAGGGCGGAGATGGCGGGCAGGCCATACGGAGCCACTGCCGTTTTGGGTGGAGCCTGGTGGAAAGGATCCCAGTGCATATGTGGTCTCCAGACTCCATCAGTAAATACAGCCACAGTCAGCAGGCAAAGACTTAAACACAAGCATCTGTCCTCCATGGGCGGCCCAGCCCCGGCTGTCCGCGCCCTTCTGAGCAGCGTCTCCCCAGCCCCGTTGCCAGCGTCCTCCACTGAAAAGTGACTGCTTTGTGGACTCACAAAACAATCAGGAAGCTAACTGTGTGTGATTCTCAGCCACCTGCAGACCAAGGCCATCCTCTGAGATTGGAGTTTGTGGTAGACACACCTGCTCTGTGACGAGCCTTGGTCCCTGCTGCTCAGGGATGTGCATGGCGCATACATAGCAGGTGCTCCCATTTATAAAGGAAATGGAGGCCGGCGCCGCGGCTCAATAGGCTAATCCTCCACCTTGCGGCACCAGCACACCGGGTTCTAGTCCCGGTCAGGGCACCAGATTCTGTCCCGGTTGCCCCTCTTCCAGGCCAGCTCTCTGCTGTGGCCCGGGAGTGCAGTGGAGGATGGCCCAAGTGCTTGGGCCCTGCACCCCATGGGAGACCAGGAGAAGTACCTGGCTCCTGCCATCGGATCAGCGCAGTGCGCCGGCCGCGGCAGCCATTGGAGGGTGAACCAACGGCAAAAGGAAGACCTTTCTCTCTGTCTCTGTCTCTCACTGTCCACCCTACCTGTCAAAAAAAAAAAAAAAAAAAAAGGAAATGGAATCGGTGTGCTAAGAAGGAGTGCCCATGTCACCGGTTCGAGATCCGGCTGCTCCACTTCTGATCCAGCTCTCTGCTATGGCCTGGGAAAGCAGCAGAAGATGGCCCAAGTGCTTGGGCCCCTGCACCCGCGTGAGAGACCCAGAGGAAGCTCCTGGCTCCTGGCTTCGAATCGGTGCAGCTCTGGCCGTTGCGGCCAATTGGGAGAGTGAACCAGCAGATGGAAGACCTCTCTCTCTCTCTCTCTCTCTCTTTCTGTAACTCTGACTTTCAAATAAATCTTTAAAAAAAGAAGAAGAAGGAGTGCCCACGAGTCCTGCCCTTCTCCTCCCCAGCTCTCGAGTTACTTGCACTCCAGTGTAGGTCCAGTGTAGCCAGCAGCACTAGCAGTGGGTTCTTCAAGTTTGAATCACCCAAGGGTTTCCCAGTGGGCATTAAAATAGGAGGGCTTCCGGGCCTAGGCAGGAGCCAGTCCCTGGATGACAGCACGCTCAGGGCACATGGGTTCATCTAAGCTACCAGATTCTACGTGAGCCAAACCCAGGGGTCCTCACGTGTTTCCCTCAGGCCCCAGACTCCGCTCAGATTCACACATCAGCTGTCTGCATGCACCTCACTGGGATGCCCCCACCCTGGGCACCAGGCATCACTCACATGGCACAGCCAAAGCACGCTTCCTGCCCCCCCCACCTCTGTCCGCCCGGAAATGCTCCATCAGCTGACCATCGGCTCAAAGCAAGATCATGGAAGGCCGGCGCCGTGGCTCACTAGGCTAATCCTCTGCCTTGCAGCGCCAGCACACCAGATTCTGTCCCGGTTGCTCCTCTTCCAATCCAGCTCTCTGCTGTGGTCCTGGAGTGCAGTGGAGGATGGCCCAAGTGCTTGGGCCCTGCACCCCATGGGAGACCAGGAGAAGCACCTGGCTCCTGGCTTCAGATCAGCGCGGTGCGCCGGTTGCAGCGGCCATTGGGGGGTGAACCAACAGCAAAGGAAGACCTTTCTCTCTGTCTCTCTCTCTCTCACTGTCCACTCTGCCTATCAAAAAAAAAAAGATCCCGGAGTCATTCCTGAGTTGTCCTAACTGCCAGATCCGATCTGTCCACACAACTTGCTGGTTCTCTCTACAGCAGCCTGTGGTGGGAGTTTGGCCTCGAGGTTAAGATGCCAGTAGCGAGACCTGCATCCAACGTCAGCGTGCCTTTGAACCTGATGCCAGGTTCCTGCTGATACAGACCTTGGACAGCAATGGGATGGCTCGAGTGACCAGGGCCTTGCCACCCGCGTGGTAGACCTGGGGTGAGATTCTGTCTCCTGACTTCCAGCTGGCTCAGCCCAGGCCACTGGGGGCATTTAGGGAGTGAAACAATGGATGGGAGTGCGCTCTCTCGCTCTCTCTCTCCATCTGTCTCTCTGCCTCTCAAGTAAATACAACTTTTTAAAAGTCCCAATTAAAAATAGTAAGTATGCTGGCCGGCGCCGTGGCTCAATAGGCTAATCCTCCACCTTGCGGTGCCGGCACACTGGGTTCTAGTCCCGGTCGGGGCGCCGGATTCTGTCCTGGTTGCCCCTCTTCCAGGCCAGCTCTCTGCTGTGGCCAGGGAGTGCAGTGGAGGATGGCCCAAGTGCTTGGGCCCTGCACCCCATGGGAGACAAGGATAAGTACCTGGCTCCTGCCATCGGATCAGCACGGTGCGCCAGCCGCAGCGCGTTGGCCGCGGCGGCCATTGGAGGGTGAACCAACGGCAAAGGAAGACCTTTCTCTCTGTCTCTCTCTCTCTCACTGTCCACTCTGCCTGTCACACACACACACAAAAAAAAATAGTAAGTATGCTAGCCCCTCTTCCACTACACTCATCTAATCTGCCATTCTGTCTCCTCGAGGTTGGGCTGGGGCCTCATTTCCTCAGACAATGACCCCTCCCATGTGCTCTAAAAAATGTCAGACAGGGGCCGGCGCTGTGGCATGGTAGGTTACTCCTGCAACGCCAGAATCCCACACAGGCACCGGGTCAAGCGCCGGCTGCTCCGCTTCCGATCCGGCTCCCCGCTGATGCACCTGGGAAGGCAAGGGAGGATGGCCCGAGTGCTTGAGCCCTTGCACCCATATGGGAGACCTGGAAGCAGCTCCTGGCTCCTGGCTCCTGGCTCCTGGCTCCTGGCTTTGGCTCCTGGCTCCTGGCTCCTGGCTCCTGGCTCCTGGCTCCTGGCTTTGGCCTGTCCCAGCCTTTGAGGAGTGAACCAGTAGGTGGAAGATTTTTGTCTCCCTCTCTGTCCCTGTGCCTTTCAAATAAATAAAATGAATCTTTATATATAAGTATACATATATATATATATATGTATGCATGCATATACCAGATCCCATTGCTTCCCCCTCTTAAAACGTGCTGTTCTTAAACTTTCAAAAATCAAAACCAACAAAGCCCCTTCTCGGTCTAGCTTCTGCCGCCTTCCTAGACCTCGTCTTTCCCAGACTCTACATCTGTATAATGGGCACCGCTGTGGTCATGGTTGCCTCACAGGGGACCTCAGCTGCGTGCTAGCCTAGCTCGGGTCTTCCCACAGTCCTCCCCACTGCGGCAGGTGCTGTGAAATGAGGTTCCTTGCTTTTGCGTGTGTCCCAGTGTCAGGGAAGGAGCCAGGGCAGTCGGGGGTCCCAGCTGGAGTCAGCCCCTGCCCTGCGCGAGGCACGCGCGTCGCCGCCGGTCTGAGACCTGCCTGTAGGGGGCGCTGGAGCCAGGAGGGGCCACAGCTGCCCGCGGGCCGCTCGGGGCCCGCTCGGGGGTTAAAGACACCTCTCCTCAAACCCGGGCCCTCCCCTGCTCACATCTGCCTTTGTGGCTTTAATGAGAAACCCAGGCACTTTGGCGTCCAGGGCGCGCGCTAACTCCCTGGAAGATTGGCGAGTGGAAAGAAGGTGGTTTTCCAGCGGGCCGGGGGCGGATTCGGGTCTCCGCGCGCCCTGGCGAGCTCCGCCCCTGCCGCCCGCCAGGGAGCCGGCCCGCTCCGCAACCCCTCTCTCCAGGCTCCTGGTTAGGAATTTGGGGGCGGGCCCTGGCCTGGCACGGCCGCGCACTCTCAGCAGAGCTCACTTTGCTCTCCTCGCGCCCACGTTCTGCAGCCCAAGGAGGCCGGACCGAGGGACGTGGGCACTCTTCCTCCGCTCAGCTCGAGGTAAGTGCAGGCATCTTACTTCGGGTTTGTCCCTTGTCGGTCCATAAAGGAAGTCGAAGACATGACCTGGGAGAGGGCAGGGGTGGGCCATCCTCCTTCCCCCCAAGTCTGGGCTGCTCCCGAGGGATGCTGCCCAGGGCAAGAGGTCCAGTTGCGGGACATCTCCGTTGCGGTCCTCGGGGGGGCCTCCAGTTCTCAGGCACAAAAAAATGTAAAAGTTCAAATAATGTGGGGATCCCCATAACCTCAACCCTGTGAGATCTGGGGCACTTTGGGGGTGGCCCGAGCCCTGGGTGTCCTAAATGCTGCTTTGTATAGCATGCATGAGGTGCTGAGTGCAAGGGAGCGGTTAAGAGTCGGATGAAGCATCGGCTGTGTCCAGGGGGCTGTGCGTCCCGTTGGGGTCCCCTCCAGGTTAGGGGACAGCTCCCCGTTTGAAGGAGGAGACCTTTCTCTAGGGCAGACGAGTGAGAGGACAGCAGCAGGTTCTGAGTTAGGTGCCCCCCGCCCACCCCGCCCCAGCTCCTGGTGTGTCAGTCCCCGAGCTTTCTACCTTAGCAAGGCTGAGCACAGGTGGACCCGTGGCATTGTGGGAAGCAAGGTAAGAGTATCCAACCCCGAAGCTACGTGGCTCACAGAGGCAGTGGGATCGGGGGGAGGCGTAAGCTCCCCTACCAAACCCTCTCAGCAGCCCTGGCTCTAAGCAGAGGCCAGAGCGGGTGGGACACACAGACCCTGGAAAGCTGGGTTTCAAGGGGACTGTGGCTCTTGGCTGCCAAGGTGCCCAGTCTGGAAAAGGAGAAACAGAGACAGAGGCTCACTGTGCCAGCCTCTAGGCCACCACCTTGGTCCTGCAGCAGCCCAGGGCTGTGCATGGAAAAATGCACAGTTGGCAGCAGGCTGCTCCATCCGTCTTCTTGCCTGGCCACAGCCAGGGAGCAGCCAGCGTGCCCAGGCAGTGGGCAGTCGAGTCTGCCTCTCAGAACACTGGGGCTCTTTGTCTGAGGCCTGGGCTGCCTGAGGATGAGCCAGAATGCCTGCTAGCTCTTCTGCAGCCCAGTGGCTCGTGGCAGGCCCAGGGGACTGCCTGGAGGAGCCAGTGGCCAGCAGTTTGAGCATGGCCACCAAGGCCCTTCCCATCAGTTCTGAGGCTGGCTTTTATTATCCTTTCTGTCCCCTGTCCACGGTCGCCGGCCCAGCAAGGCCCAACAGCAATGCAGCGGCTAAGTGGGACTCTTCCAGACCCAGGACAGCCCTGGGAGTTCTCTGTCCGAGGGTGACTCTCTGGAAGGTGCCCACAGAGGCTGTGCAGTGCCCTGGAGGGAGGTAATAGGGGCAGGCTCCCCAGACCTGAAGGCACACTACTGCACCCCTCCCTCCATACCTTCAACTTCCCTCCCAGGGGCCCCCAGCCCCCGCGCTGCCCTCTCAGCCTGCCCCGGCCTCATCACAGTGGCCCGGCACGCTCCAAGGTGGGTGTCAGAACCCCATCCAAAGCCGCGTTCCCTTGGGCAAACGTGAGAACCTCCAGTGTCCCCTCCATCTGTCGGTGTTTCTCAGTCACTGCTCTTGGCCCCGTGTCCCCAGGGTGCTAACACTTCACTGGGCTCCAGGGAAGACAGGGAGGCAGACCAGCTCGGCCTCCCCACACTGTGCCGCACCCCATGTCCCCCGGCTGGAGGGGATCTGTGCCCGTCTCCAGATGAGTCCCACATGGGGCTCCTCCAGGCCCAGCCAAGCTGCATGCATGACCACAGACTGCTAACCAGAGGGTTTTCTCACCCAGCCGAATGCCACCAACAGTGGCACTTTGGAGGAAAGCCCAGGCCCCGTGGTGGCCGCTGAGGGGCCACACCCCTCCCCAGACGCCCAGGGCCAGAAAACCCCAGCCTGCCTAAGAGCCCCAAAGAGCTTCCCAAGTGGCTCAGATTTTCCCCTTTGATGCTCAAGCTGCTTCTAGAAGTTTCTCCGGGACAGGAAGAGCCAGAGGGCTTTGTCCTTGGACTGTTGGAAAATAGTGTTTCCCTGGAGAGTCCAAACTGGATGTGAATCCAGGCCCAAGGAGCCCATGACTCCCACCCCTACACCTCTACACACACACACACACACACACACACACACACACACACGACGGCTGTGGGGTTTCCAGCTACCTCGGCAGAACCTGCCTGGGGCTAAGGCTGCCGTGGACCTACCCCTCTAAATGCAGTAACTCCATTCTGTTCCTCCTTGACCAGGGGACCAGGGGAGATGCATGGAGCTCTCCGCCCGCCCCCGTGGCCGCGGTCCAGCCGGACCATGTGTGCAGAGCCGGCCACGGGCTGTGTGCACCGAGCAAGGGCGAGCGAAGCTCCTGCGCCCAGGCGTCTGATGCCGAAGCAGGCGCTGCCCAGCTCTGTGCCACGGCCTCCTGAGGCTCACTCATGCCCGCTCCCTCTCCTCTCTCCCTCCCTGCACAGAGACACGATGCAGTGGGCCTCCCTCCTGCTGCTCGCGGGGCTCTGCTCCCTGTCCCGGGCCCAGTATGACGAAGACCCGCACTGGTGGTTCCACTACCTCCGCAGCCAGCAGTCCACCTACTACGACCCATATGACCCTTACCCGAACGAGCCCTACGAGCCATACCCCTACGGGGTGGAAGAGGGCCCGGCCTATGCCTACGGCTCCCCGTCCCCGCCGGAGCCCCGCGACTGCCCCCAGGAGTGCGACTGCCCCCCCAACTTCCCCACCGCCATGTACTGTGACAACCGCAACCTCAAGTACCTGCCCTTCGTGCCGTCCCGCATGAAGTACGTCTACTTCCAGAACAACCAGATCACCGCCATCCAGGAGGGCGTCTTCGACAACGCCACCGGGCTGCTCTGGGTCGCCCTGCACGGCAACCAGATCACCAGCGACAAGGTGGGCCGCAGGGTCTTCTCCAAGCTCAGGCACCTGGAGAGGCTGTACCTGGACCACAACAACCTGACCCGGATGCCGGGCCCGCTGCCCCGCTCGCTGCGGGAGCTCCACCTGGACCACAACCAGATCTCGCGCGTGCCCAACAACGCCCTGGAGGGGCTGGAGAACCTCACGGCCCTGTACCTGCAGCACAACGAGATCCAGGAGGTGGGCAGCTCCATGAGGGGCCTCCGCTCGCTCATCCTGCTGGACCTGAGCTACAACCACCTGCGCCGGGTGCCCGACGGGCTGCCCTCGGCCCTCGAACAGCTCTACCTGGAGCACAACAACGTCTACACCGTCCCCGACAGCTACTTCCGGGGGTCGCCCAAGCTGCTATACGTGCGGCTGTCCCACAACAGCCTCACCAACAGCGGCCTGGCCTCCAACACCTTCAACTCCAGCAGCCTGTTGGAGCTCGACCTCTCCTACAACCAGCTACAAAAGATCCCCCCAGTCAGCACCAACCTGGAGAACCTCTACCTGCAAGGCAACAGGATCAATGGTGAGAGTTCGGCCCCGGGGGCACCCGGCAGCCGTGGCTGCGTCACTGGAGTGGCTCTGCTCCAAGTGCTCGCGGCCGTGCCGGCAAAACACCAGCAGGGGAGCCACACGGCCGGAGACCCAGCAGCCTGCACAACCAGCCTCGGCCCTGACCACAGGGTGCAGGGTAGCGAGCACCTGCACTGGCCAGTGGTGCTGGGAGAAGTCAGCGGGGTGCGGGTGGGGGCCCGAGACTTCCCCGGGAGGGGCAAGCTCCCACCCGGGTCTTGGGAGAGAAGTGGGCATGGATGGCGGCCTGCAGGACAGAGCCACCGATGGTCACTTACCAGGTCAACTGCCAAGGGCTGCATGTGCCTTGCTAATCTTCTCTGTATCGTTCCAATTTTAGTGTAAGTGCTGCCGAAGCGAGCACTGCGCAAGTGCCTGAGAAGGAGCAGTGGTGTGTGGAGGGGCAGAGAGAGACGAGTTTGGAGAGGTTTGGGAGGGAGGGGACGGTCCCCCGGGATGAAGAGTCTCAGTTCAACTTCTAGGTCCCTCGTGGGAGGTGTCCGTCCTTAGACACCAGCCTGTAAGAGAATGAGCCTCGGTGGCCGCGTGACCCGCCCCAGCCCCCGCAGCCTGGCCGCGTGCTCTGCTGTTTATCTGCCTTTGGAGCGTAGGAGCTGGTGAGCAGGACTGCACCACCTCTCGGAGCGGAAGGCGGCACCAGTCTTCCCCTGGAGTCCAAGGGGCCCCTGGTGGCAGGGCAGAGGTCCTGCCCCAGGCTAGTGGGAGCCTGGGGTGGCCGCTGGGCAGGGGCGGGGAGAGATCACTGGGCTTCTTGTTGCAGGAGGGCCCCACCCTCACCCCTGCAGACGCCTAGAGGCGCCCGAAGGGTACTGCAAAGCCCATTTCAGCAGCCCTGGCCCTTAGCACAGGCGGGCAGGTCCCGAGCCAGAGCCAGCGTTCCTCCGCCTGCCCGCCTCTCTCAGCTCCTCTCCCGGGGAAGGGGCTTCGGTAATGGCGCAGGTGGAGCACTTTGAAGTGAGCGAGAGGTCCTGAGCGCCCCCCCCCCCCAGGGAACAGCCCAGGCATTTAGGGAGATGCTAAGGAGCTGGCCGGCCCCCTGAGGAAGGTGGCCCAGCCCTGGAGGTGGCTGTTGGGCAGGCGGGGCATCCTCTGGGGACAATGGCTCTGCTCGCAGGGTCTGAGGGCTGCTCACCGTCTCCCCTGCCACCGAGCGCTCGCTCCCCTGCCGCCCACCCTCACTGCCCAGTCCAGGAGGGAGGCTGCGTGGAAGCACCCCCCCGCCCCGTGCTGTGCTCCGTCCACGTCTGACCCGCATGGCCCCAGCAGACAGAGGAAGCGGGCACGGGAGGAGACACTACGGGAGCGTCTGTCACCTCCCTGCCTTCACGCAGAGCCATGTCTGCCGCTCACAGACCAGGTGGCAAAGAAATAATGCCCCTTTAGTGGTGTCCGGGGTGGGGGCTAGAAAGCTCTCCATTCGACCAGGCAAGAACTCCCCAGTGCCGTGGGCGGCCCGCGCCTGTGGCCTTGGCTGGATGGCTCTCGGCTCTCTCCAGCCTCAGGCAGCAAACAGCTGTGCTTGCTAGCGACCTGCTGGGCCGAGTACGGTTTCTGTTGTTGTGTTGTTGCTGTTGTTTGCATTGCAAAGGTGGGGAAATTGAGGCACAGAGAAGGGAAAGGCAGAGGAGGACGGGGACTCCAGGGACTCCGGGGCCTGCAGGGTTTGAGGCCTGGTCCCCTCCTGGCAGCCGCTCCCCAGCTGCCGCCATCAGCAGCCCTCTCAGATTTTCCAGTTACTAACAGGCTGGGAATGTCATTCGGAAGCTTTGGGACCCAGCGGGGTGGGTCGGCCAGGACACAGGAAAGACCGCGTCAGTGTTTGATCTGGGCTGCAGTCTGTCCTCCCGTGGCTCCGGGCAGAAGCCCTGCCCTGTTCATGGGCCGGCGCAGGACACGGGCAGGGGGGCTGGCAGTGCCCGTGGGTGGTGGGAATTGTTCTACCCGGGGTGCCTGGCTCCCCACACGCTCAGTGGGAGGGGAGATGGGAGCCTCGTGTTTGTGTCCAGGCAGCTGGGAGCCAGGGATTTTGCAGACTGTGTGAGGCCTGCAGGCTGCGGGGGGAGCTCTCCCTGAGCCCTTAGCTCAGTCCCCTAGGGCTGGAAGGGACGCTGGGCTGAGCCGCTTTGCTTCCCCCCAGGTCCCATATGCTGGGGACAGAGACTCAGCCCCTGGCCAGGGCCCTGACCCCCGCCCGCCTACTCAGAGGCCCTCAAATCTCTTCTCGGGGACATGGCTGAGCCATCTGTGTGCCCGCTCCGGAGGGGGCCGCTCCGCAGTCCCCCCTGGCCCGGTGGTTTTAGCCTCACATCTGCAGCACAAGTCATTTGCTGCAGCCTCACGCCGGCTCGACTCGCTCCATTCTTCTCTCTTACCTGAGACTTCAATAGCAGCACGTACAGATGGCCACTCAGCCACTGTCCGTGCGCCCAGGACGATGCTGACCCAGAACACTTCCGGCAGCCGCTCTCTGATGCCTGCACACCCACGGACTCGCCCAGCAGGAGCCCCCCCCCCCCCGCCCGCCGTCATACAGAGCTCTGCTGCCCCCCCCACCTGGCTCCAGGATGCACACAGCTCCTGACCCCCTTTGCAAGCTGAGGGACACCTCTGAGGGAACCACAGCCCAGGTGCCCCTGCTGGGGCGCCCGAGCCTGATCCTGCCCTCTGCTGTGTGCTGGGCGGCGAGGTGTCGGGCACTTCAGGTGCAGCCGTGATGCCGCGGTCCCTGCGTCTGAGCTCCATGTCTTTCGTCTCACGTGACTGAGTAGACCGGAGACAGAGGCAGGTGACTTGTCCCGGACAGGCAGAGGGAGAAGTGGTCCAGCAGAGGACAAGCAGGGGAGAGGTGGCAAAAGGGTTCACGTTCAAAACCAAACAGCCCTGCCTGCCCAGGGGGGCTGTGTGCTGTAGGGGCGACACTTCCAAAAGGGGTCTTCTTTTGAGATTGGAGAGAGAAGCAGCCCGTGATGGAGTCACGTGCGGGAGGCAGAGGGATGGCACTGAGGGGTTGGGTTCCCTCTCACCTCGGAGCCCTGCACGCGCTCCCCTGGCAGCCCCGGGCCTGGAACACTTGTCTCTCGGCCCAGGCGTCCTCCCTTTAACCTCCTGCCACTTCTCTCTCTGCAGAGTGGCAGGAGATGTTCCCGATTTAAACCTCTCCGTTTCCAGCCTTCCTGCTCATAGCAATTCAGCAAAGCCCTCCCTCTCCAAAAGCAATCAAGCCTTGCAAGTGGCTCTGCCTGGTCCCTTGCTGCCCTCTGCTTCCCTCTGCTGCCCACGGGCAGGACAAAAAAAAATATATCAAGTCCTGGCGAGAAGGACACCCAAGGACATTCCAGGGTCTGCAAAGTACTGGTGGGGGAGGGACGGAGGGCGGGGTTAGGAGGCGGGGCTGTAGGCCCAGCCCCCTTCTCCGTCCCCTGGCTGGACTGGGATCCTGCACCATGTCCACCCCAAGGCTGCAAGGCCCTCCCCTTGCTCGGAAGCCTTCGTGGAGGCGGCTGTCACGCCGAGGCTGAGTGCCCCCGCCCTCTGTGCCCACAGAGTTCTCCATCAGCAGCTTCTGCTCCGTGGTGGACGTCATGAACTTCTCCAAGCTGCAGGTGCTGCGCCTGGACGGCAACCAGCTGAAGCGCAGTGCCATGCCGGCCGACGCACCCCTCTGCCTGCGCCTGGCCAGCCTCATCGAGATCTGAGCAGCCCCGGCCCCGCCCCACCGCATCCGGCTTGATGGTTTGGTTTGGCTTTTGCTGGGAGGGCTGGGACAGACCCTGCGACAGGAGTCCACAGCTCCCTCTCGTCTCCTCCCTGGAGGCAGGGCTGGGTGGGATCGGGGAACCACCTGGGCAGGGGACGGCAATGGTGGCACAGGGACTAATCCCCGGAAGCCCAAACCCCAGAAACCCTACTGTCTCTCCCCGCGGAGCTGAGCGCGGCGCATGCGCAGTTGCAGGGCAGTGGGCGCCTCACCGCCGTCTCCTGAGCCCTGAGCTGGCTGCGCGGTTGCGCTGGGCTCCTATTCGTTGCTCCTCGCAGGATACCTCGTGCCCACCCAGCCTTGCTGCACCGCCCCCGCGGGGCCCCTGGGTGCCTGCCCAGCGACCTGTGGAGAGCAGCCACACTGGTGTTTGAGGGGGTCAGGGGTAGCGAGAGTCACCTGCGTTCCTCCAGCTCACCTGTTGAGAGCCCCCAGGCTGGAGTTCCAGCGTCCAGCCAGAGGAGACAGCCAGCCCTGGGCTTGGATGAGTGGGTGGGGGTGCATGTCAGCAGCTGGCCAGCTCTCCAGGGAAGAGGCCAGCCCGAGCTCGGGGCAGGTGCACCCCGGAAAGAGCCCCAACAGCTTCCTCCTTGCCCAGCACTCTCTCCCGTCCCAACAGCACCTGTCTGAGATTTCTCCAAAGCATGGGAAAGACAGTTTGTCCCCTTGTCTTCCCCAGGCCCGATGGGAGAGGCAGACTCAGCCAGCCCTGGGCTTGCCTGCTGGCCGCAGGGCGGTCTGCGTGAACGGACCAGCTCTGAGGCAGCAGCTCCAGCTGGAGATGCTCACGGGGTCCGGGAAGGCGCAGACCCGCCCGTGCTGGCCGGGACCCTCTGAGCTACGCCTTCGGCATTGAAGACGCCTGCTGCATTACAGCTTGGCGGGGGGCAGTGACTTCTTCCCGCTTCTGAAACGTCCCGCTGCCCGGGGCCTAACCCCCCTGCTGCTGGGGGCACCACTGGGTTGTGGCCAGCCAGGGAGCTGGGGCCAAGCACTGGCTGGCCAAGGCCCTGCCCAGACGCCATCCACCCTGACACTATGCATGCTTCCGGCACCAGGGAGAGGGGGAGGAATCCTCGGACTGTGCTCTCGGCCCCAGACCCGAAATCCACAAAAGCCAAACCAGCTCGTTCCAGCGGAGGCGCCCTGGCTGGAGGGCCATGGCCGCCCCCTGCCCAGGGCCCTCAGAGAGCCCTCTGCCTGTATAAACGATTCCTGGCTACAGGGGAAGCTCGTGTGGTGGCCAGCCTGACAATAAAGTTACCTTACTGCTGCACCTGCAAGACTGGGTCCCTGAGGGCAGGAGGAAGGCTGAGGGCAGCTTCTGGGGTCGTGCAGGCCCTAGGCTGTCACAGCCCTCACTTTCTCTGGGATGGTTTTTTTAAAAACTCTGGTCAGCAGACTTTGTGTTCTGGAAGTTCTTCTGGAAGTCCAACTTCAATCCTTCTATCTACTCATTCCTCCTCCATTTGTTGCCCGAGGGGAAAAGAACAACGCAGCTTTTTCACGATCCTAACATCCTACCTCTCCCTCCCTCCTCGTCCACCCTGTAATTCTGGCTGGGACTGGTCCACGGTGGTGTTGGCTTAACCACTTCTGCCCTCTAGCGGCCACTGTGCGCAACAGCAGGGAGTCCCGCTTAGCTAAGCCGGTCCTGGAAGGGGTACACGCAGCGGCTTCTCCGTACACACTTTCTGCAAGTCCTTAGGTGTCAGATGCTATGAAGTTTGCTTAGCAGGCTCCACAGGACCCAGGGGACAATCCTCTGTTTCCTGATAGGGAACTCAGCTGAGCAGGGACACGGGCCAGTTCTGCAGGAAGCAGCCCCGGGTGGAGGCCAAGTGGGCGCATTGACTCTCACTCTCCGGAGAAGAGGCAGGCCGGAGCGGGAGTGTGCGCCGTGGTGCCAGGAAGTCAGCTCTGACCACAGTCCTCACTGGGATCCCGAGGCCCCAGGACACACAGACGCCACGGGGAAGAGGCGGAGACGGGAGGCTGGGGAGGGCACTGTCCACCTGCAGTGACCGTGACCGTGACCAACCAGACGGAGCAGGGGGAAGGGTGGGAGCCAGGCCCACCCAGCCTCACCCTCACGCCCCAGCCAGTGCTGCACGAGCAGGAAGCTAGAACGCACCGCCCTCAGACACCCACCATGTCTCCCTAAGTTCCATCTGATTGGCACTTGCTGTGCGCGAGGGGCTTCCCTTACAGTGCTTGGTTTAGGAGCCCTCACCCCTCTGTCTGCACAGGGGACTGTCACCGTCACCATTTTTTAAATTTTATTTGTTTGAAAGGCAGAGCTACAATGAGAGGGTGAGAGAGAGAGAGAGAGAGAGAGAGGTCTTCCATCTGCTGGTTCACTCCCCAAATGGTAGCAGTGGCTGGGGCTGTGCCATGCCAAAGCCGGGAGCTTCATCAGGGTCTCCCATGTGGCTGCAGGGGCCAAGCACTTGGGCCACCCTCTGCTACTTTCCCAGGTGCATTAGCAGGTACCTGGATCAGAAGCAGAGCAGCGGGGACTTGAATCAGGGCCCACATGGGATGCCGGCGCTGCAGGTGGCTTAGCCCCTTACACCACAGCGCTGGCCCTACTTCCACCACTTTACAGATGGAGACCCTGAGGCACCTGGAGGCTGAGGTCACCCAGGAAAGGCAGTGCTGAGGACAGAGTGACCGCCGCCAGCTGTCTCTCCAGCCCGTGACTTTGCTCTGTGTTTCCACTGTCCACTGTCTGGGGTTCCTGGGTATACACGGGCAGCGAGGGTGCACCTTCTTACTTTTTGGGATGGTCCTATAACCATTCATGTCCCATATGGAATTCCGGGGGCCAGCATGGTGGTACAGTGGCTTACGCTGCCTCTCAAGATGCTGACATCCCATATCCTGGCTCCTCTGCCTCCCATCCTGCTCCCTGCTAATGCACCTGGGAAAGCAGAGGGAAATGGCCCAAGCGCTTGGACCTCTGCACCTACATGGGAGACCCGGATGGAGCTCCAGACTCCTGGCTTCTGCCTGGCCCAGCCTCAGCCATTGTGGTCATTTGGGGCGTGAACCAGCTGATGCAAGATCTCTCTCTCTCTCTCTCTCTATCTCTCGCTTGCTCGCTCTCTCTCTCTCTCTCTCTCCCTGCTTTCAGATAAATACATAAATCTTTATAAACAATCGAATGTGTTCTTCATCACTAAATGTTTCTGTGCCTGGTGAGAGGGAGAGGGGCAGGGGCACAGGGAGCCTGGCCTGGGTCCCCTGCACCGTGGGCAGGAGCAGCAGGATTTAGAGGAAGCCGTCCGGGCAGAGGAAGGAAGCTTAGGTGTGGGGAGCAGCTCGGACTAGACTAAGTTACTGGAATTAAGACTTATTCTATGCATCTGCTCTCCTACAATATGGCGCTGGGAGAGGAGAAAACAGCTTCTACCCAGCTGCCTCCAGTTCAACCAATAAACTGTAGGACTTGCTCCTGATTGGAGAGCAGCGTACTCGGCGTGTGGGCAGCCGAGTTAGGATTGGTGGAGGAGGACTATAAAGGAGGAGAGAGACGGCATGCACCAGGAACATCTATGGGGAACACCTATCTGAAGGAACACCTGTGCAGCCCCCGAGAAGAGCCGGCTGGCGGTGTGCCGCTCCCCTGCGGAAGTGGGGAATGTGGCCAGGGGGAACTGCCCTTCCACGGAGGTGGAAGGGATAGTAGCCAACCCGGGAAGAACCAGCAGAAAACCCGGGGAGGGCCGAGCAGACGAAAGAACAGCGCAGGGTCCTGTGTTGCTCCTCCACGAAGAGGGGGAGCGACACTTAGGGACCACTCTACAGGTGAAATGTCTGGATGCAGAGGAAGGAGAGCTCCAAAGGACGAGGCCAATGCAGTGGGTGGGGGTCAAACTGCGTACTAACCTTGTCCTCTCATTCAAGACGCAGTACCAAGCAGCTCCATCAAAACCAAGTCCAAGGGCCTGCGCTAGAAACAATCTCGCAATTCTGACTTCCAGCCACGAGGGGGCAGCATCTCACCGTACACCGCCAAAGCCTTTTCTACCGTCTGTTAGGCTTCAGTTCCGTTCTGCTCCAATCAGCCCCCAGCCCTGCTGGACCCAGGCACCGGGAGGCCTGGGGGGATCCAGGGTCTTTGCCTATGTGTGCCGCGGCCGCTGTGGCAGTCTGGTGAAGCCCATGGACCCTCCTCAGGTTTCTGAAGGCGTGAAGTAAGATGCACAGTTACCAACATATAAAACTCACAGATTTTCTTTTTTTTAAGATTTATTTATTTTCTTGGAAGTCAGAGTTACACAGAGAGGGAAGGAGACCGGGGTGGGGGGTCTTCCATCCGCTGGTGCACTCCCCAATTGGCTGCATTGGCCGGAGCTGCACCGATCTGAAGCCAGGAGCCAGGAGCTTCTTCCAGGTCTCCCATGTGGGTGCCAGGGTGCAAGGGCTTGGGCCATCTTCTGCTGCTTTCCCAGGCCACAGCAGAGAGCTGGATCAGAAGTGGAGCAGCCAGGACTCGAACTGGCACCCATATGGGATGCTGGCACTGCAGACCAGGGCTTTATCTGTTATGCCACAGCATTGGCCCCAAAATTCATAGATTTTTGATAGTCATTTATATGTTTCTTTTTTTTTTTAACAGGCAGAGTGGACAGTGAGAGAGAGAGACAGAGAGAAAGGTCTTCCTTTGCCGTTGGTTCACCCTCCAATGGCCACCGCGGCCGGCGCGCTGTGGCCGGCACACCGCGCTGATCCGATGGCAGGAGCCAGGAGACAGGTGCTTTTCCTGGTCTCCCATGGGGTGCAGGGCCCAAGCACCTGGGCCATCCTCCACTGCACTCCCTGGCCACAGCAGGGAGCTGGCCTGGAAGAGGGGCAACCGGGACAGAATCCGATGCCCCGACCAGGACTAGAACCCGGTGTGCCGGCGCCGCTAGGCGGAGGATTAGCCTAGTGAGCCACGGCGCCGGCCTATATGTTTCTTTATTAATGTAAAAAAAAAAAAAAAAAAAAAAAAAAAAACAAGAGGTAGCAACATGTCTGCTCGGGTGCTGTCATTCCAAGCACGGGCACAGGCTTTTGGCCTTGGTGCTTGACTCCAGCTAAGACGCCCACGTCCACACTGGCGCTCTGCATCTGATTCGCATGTCGGGCTCTGACCCCAGCTCCCTGCTAGGGCAGTTCCTGGGAGGCAGCGGCGATGGTGCAAGCGACTGGGTTCCTGTGCTCAGGTGGGAGGAGACCTGGGTTCATTTCCTGGGTCCCAGCTTTGACAAGCCCAGCCCTGGCCCGTGTGGGCATTTAGGGCGTCAATCAGCAGATGGGAGCGTGTTCTCTCTCTCTCTCTCTCTCTCTCTGATAAACTAATTTAAAAAGGAAAACCAGGAAGAAGAATGAGGAGGGCTGGGGTGGCCGGAAGTCGGGAGCAGCCCGAGCATGCTCCCCGGAGCCCAGGAAGCACTCCCTGGTGCCCGTCCTGCCACTCACTCCAGCGAGCAGGGCGGCGCAGGAGACCCAGCGCCCCGTGGATCTTCTCAAACTCTGAGGAGCCCCGCGCCGTCGCAGATGGACGGCGGTGGGTGGGCGGGACTCCCAGCAGCTAGGAGGGGAGCCGGCCAAGCCTCTGGAGGGCCTGGACGCCAGGATCTGCCCAAGTGGAGCAAACACATTGCTCTGTCCTGTAGCAGCCCGAGTCGCAGAGCCGCGCTGCTTCCTGGAAACGCGTCCGCGCCCCGGCACAGAGCCCACGCGTGGCGCAGAGACACTGACACGAGAGACTGAGGCCGAGGTCGCCTGGGTGTGTGGCCCAGTGAGCAGAGGAGGGCAGGGGGTGCAGAGAGCCAGGGCCGGACACAAGGACGCACAGACCCCCCCCACCCCAGCCCCACCCCGGGCTCCAGCTGGGACTGCAGACACCAAGGACAGACAAGCTGGTTCCACCTCCAGGTCTGGGTCGCCAGCTACGCTCAAGGCGGGAAGAACGGAATTGCACTTGACCCAGTGGAGGAAGTGACAACAGCAAGCAGGGAGATGGTCACAAGGCTCTGCCCCAGTGAGCAGGTGGTCGTCCTGGGTCCTCGGGAAACCCAGCGGAAGCACGGGGCTTGCCTGCTGCCCTCACAGTCCCCACACCCCTCCACAGGGCCCCTCCCAGGCCTGCACTGGAGCTTGTAGGACAGCGGCCATGCTGTGGGTGCCAGGCCTTGCTGGCAGGCCTGGGGGTAGCGCTGACTCAGATGGTAGGGCCAGCCGTGGGAGTCTGCACAATAAAGGGGGGGCAGCTAGTCCGAGGAA